CCAATCAGGAGAGGGTTACAGTAATCCATGCGGGAAATTACTAGAGCATGGACAAGCTCCTTGGTAGCATCTTGCGTAAGAAAGGGGCGAATGCGGGCTATGTTTTTGAGTTGGAACCTACAGGACTTGGCAACAAACTGGATGTGAGACTCGAAGGTGAGACCAGAGTCAAGTATGACGCCAAGACAGCGCGCTTGCAGGGATGGACTTATGTGGATATCACTGACTTGAAGGGAGAGCGAGAGAGGGGGATCAGTATTAGGAGGAGGAAAAACAAGGAGTTCAGTTTTAGAGAGGTTAAGTTTCAGAAAGCGTGAAGACATCCAGTCAGAGATGGAAGAAAGGCAAGCAGTGACACGTTGCAGGACAGCAGGGGAGAGGTCCGGGGAGGAGAGGTATATCTGAGTGTCATCAGCGTACAGGTGGTAGTGGAATCCAAAAGAGGCAATCAGTTTACCAAGAGAGGCGGTATAAAGAGAAAATAGAAGGGGACCAAGGACAGACCCTTGGGGAACTCCAACCGAGACAGGACGAGTGGAGGAGGTATCCTTGGAAAAGGAGACACTGAATGAGCGTTGGGAGAGATAGGAGGAAAACCAAGAGAGGACCGAGTCACAGAGACCGAGCGATTGAAGAGTTTGAAGGAGGAGAGCATGATCAACGGTGTCAAAGGCAGCAGAGAGGTCAAGGAGAATTAATATGGAGTAATGACCTTTGGATTTAGCGGAGATTAGGTCATTAGTCACTTTGATAAGAGCAGTCTCAGTAGAGTGGAGAGGGCGGAAGCCAGACTGAAGAGGGTCAAGGAGAGAGTTGGAATTAAGGAAGCGGGACACACGGGTAAAGACAAGCCTTTCCAAAAGCTTTGATGAGAAAGGGAGCAGGGATATGGGACGATAGTTAGAAGGGGAGGATGGGTCAAGAGATGGTTTTTTCAGGATAGGTATTACAGTGGCATGTTTAAGGTCAGCAGGAACAGTGCCAGAAGAGAGAGAGCAGTTAAAGATGTGTGTTAGGGTAGGCACAAGACAAGGGGAGAGAGATCTGATGAGGTGAGATGGGACAGGATCGAGCGGGCAAGTGGTGGGGCGAGAGGAATGGAGAAGCGCAGCCACCTCTTGTTCAGTAGCTGGGTAGAAAGTCTGGAGGGTAGGGAAAGCAAGATTTACATGTGGTTGAGAAAGAGAACGGCAAGGAGGGGAGAATTGTTTCCTTAGCTGTTCAATCTTGTCGGTAAAGTAGCATGCAAAGCTATCAGCTGTAAGGTTAGTTTGGGGGGTGGCCACAGCAGGGCGGAGAAGGGAATTAAAGGTGTCAAAGAGGCGTCTGGGATTGCGGGAGCATGAACTAATGAGAGAGGAAAAGTATGACTGTTTGGCGAGGGCGAGGGCTGCGCTGTATGAAAGCAACATGAATCTATAATGGAGAAAGTCTGCCTGGGTGCGGGACTTCCTCCAGGAGCGTTCAGCACAACGGGAGCAACTCTGCAGATAGCGTGTTGATTTATTATGCCAAGGTTGGGGTCGTGTCCTCCTCGAGGTGCATGTTTTGAGTGGGGCTGCAGCGTTCAAGGCAGATGTGAGGGTAGTGTTATATGTGGAGATGGCCAGTGAGGGACAGGAGAGGGAAGGGATGGATAGCAGTTGTGAATCAATGTCAGCTGACAGCTGCTTGAGGTCAATAGAGTTAAGGTTCCTCCTGAGCTGAGGGGGGTTAGGCTGAGATTGTTGGGTGAGGGGGTAATTGAGAGCAAACGATAAGAGGTGGTGATCAGAGAGAGGAAATGGGGTGTTGCAGATATTAGATATTGTACATGAAGAAGAGAAAATAAGGTCGAGGGTATTGCCAGCTACATGAGTGGGAGAATTAGCCCACTGCAAAAGTCCAAGGGAGGAAGTGATTGAAAGTAGTTTAGAGGCTGCTGGGGTCAAAGGTGGGTTAACGGGAATATTGAAGTCTCCAAGAATTAGGGATGGGATGTTGGAAGAGAGGAAGTAGGGTAGCCAGGCAGCAAAGTGGTCAAGGAAGAGGAGAGGGGAACCAGGGGGACGATAGATTACGGCAATGTTAGCAGAGAAGGGTTTGAAAAGGCGAATTGAATGAATTTCAAATGATGGGAAAGAGAGGGAAGGGGGGGTAGACAGGGTTTTAAAGGTGCAGTGGGGTGAGAGAAGAAAACCTACACCGCCACCTTTAATCTCTGCTTGTCTTGGGTTGTGGGTAAAGTGAAGACCACCAAAAGACAGTGAGGCAGGTGTAGCAGTATCAGAGGGAGAGAGCCATGTTTCTGTTAGTGCAAGTATGTTTAGGGAGTGTGAGTTGATTCAGCTCTACATTCTTCTGAGGTAGATACAATGGGTCCTATTAAATTGGGTAATAGTAACAACCCCTGGATGTTGAGTTACAGTAACATCCCCAATTTACTTTGAATTCCCAACAACTCTCAATTTAGGTAAAAGCCTTGTTAGTCTCTATTTTTTGGATTTTAGGAAAATGATCACCCACTTATCGATAAACACGAATAGAACCTCACTATAGAATGAAAGAACCAAACATTCTGCAGTATGATTTCCACTCTCTGGTTAATGTGCGTATTCACGTATATATGTGCTTTATCTATCGTATTCATTAAGCATGCTAAAGACCACTTTAACCAATGTACTGCTAATTAAAACATTGTCTTTAGCATGACTCACCTCCCTACAGCCGTTCTTCACAGGAAGCAGATATTATTATACTCAATATACTTAAAATTTATATTTGTATGCATATGAAGAACCGTGTTTTATCCTAATTACCAAGCCCTTTGATGTGGTTCATGCTGTGAAAAAAAAATGTAAATGTTGCATTTTGCTTTCTATTGAAATGGAATTTAATCGAAGACAGATACCGCTGGGACCATTATCATTATTACTAACGTTTATTTAACATATTCCATAACTGTTCAATTTGAGAGAAAGTTACAAACAGTGGGCATGCGAATACCATCTGGTGTAAATCGTAGAGGGCTGTGCTTGTGAATGCTTAGAGATTCATGCTAACAGAATTTAGGAAAGGGGATGCAGACGTTGTAACAAGACAGAGTAGAATTCCATGCAAAGGGTATTGTGAAGGTAGGAGAGTGGAGTTGTATGTAGTCCTCCAAATCATCTAAGCATTTGTTTTTTCCTTGTAATTTGAATTAAAGGAACATGCCCATCACCATAAATATTGTAGCACACTGAAGTGGTTTTAGTATGTGGAATTTCCTTGTGTCTCCCCTCCCCCCAATATACGTAGTAAAGCTGTTTGCTAATGGTTTGACTTCTTAACGGAGGTCCCTGGGAGCACTCTTTATTGAGCTAAGCCTGACGATGCTCATTGGTTGCAAGAGTTAGCTGATCGCTCTCAGCCAATGACCTAAATCCTGCGCCACACGGCAAGGTTTATTTCAGGAGTAAAAGCAAAGAGAATGTTACCTGCGCTCTGGCCTAAATCCCTCTGTACATTTAAACAAAATGGAGGAAATAGGGGTTTAGGGCAGAGGGCAGGTAACGTTCTCTTTGTTTTTGCTATGTATTTTGAGCTGTTGGATACTGAGCTACTGCTGCTGTAAGCGCGTTGCTTTATCTTTTTGTTAGTTCAGGAGTTTTAACGGAAGCTCCTAACAGGAGCTTTGGGTTCTTACTCTTGACAGCAGAGAGGCAGGGACCAGCTCCAGCGGACCCCATGTCAACAGCTACTACATGGTTTGACTACTTATATTAAGAGGATGCCAGGGTGTTCTTCACTCATTAACCACTGAACACACTGTAGTGGTTATGGTGCTTGGAGTGTTCTACACTTCAGAGAAGTTATATAGGTATATTGTATTCTTGAGCTGGGTGACATATATTTATTGTGCCTGTAAGATAACATAATTGTCTTTCCTGTGTATATATTATGTCTGTTGCACCCTGAGATCCCATGAATGTAAATATATACTTTTTTATTAACAGATATTTTTTTATTAACAGATCTGCAAATTATGTCTGTTGCACCCTGAGATCCCATGAATTAAAGGAACATGCCCATCACCATAAATATTGTAGCACACTGAAGTGGTTTTGGTATGTGGAATTTCCTTGTGTCTCCCCTTCCCCCAATATACGTAGTAAAGCTGTTTGATGGAATCTCAGGGTGCAACAGACATAATTTGCAGATCTGTTAATAAAAAAATATGTTTTATTGAGCAAAGTCATTTATTTTCTATGATGGTGCAAAAACTCTTGTACTCAGATAATAACAGTACATCTGCTAGCAAAGACATTATTCAGTGAGGTGTTTTAATCTACATAATGGTCCATTCCAAAGAACTATGAATATTCCCAAACTGGTCTCCAGGAATAGAACAGATATTTGTAGGCTAAAATATAGCTCAGATTCCACCCATTAACCAATCAAAAAAAAAAAAAAATCGGTCCAAAATCCTTTTATACGATATATGTCAATGTCCCTGTCCTCTCTTGGCTATGACACAGAGCAGAACAAAATTAATTGAAAGAGGATAAAAGCATTAAAAAAATGTGGGGAGGGATCAGTCTGTGGGTGCTGATATATTACGTGACCCGTAGTAATTCACAGTTGAGTTACAGAGCTTTGCAAGCCTTTGCTCATAAATCAACTCTTTGGAGATTTGAAGAGAATTTGATGGTGACCTTCAAAATATAGAATAATGCTGTTTTCACTTTTCTAAAGATAGAGAAGCCAGATTCAATTTCCAGATGGATCTTCTTTCTCTCTTTTGCCCTTCCTTCTATCTACTGCAGATAACAGTTGTTTGAGTATTAAAATAAAATAAAAAGTTGCTCCGTGGAGTTTCCGTTCAATGAAAGCCCAACAGCAAGAACAAACAGGATCCCTCCATCCCTCAATTTAAACAATCCAGTTCTGCAAAGGCATGGTTTTGATAGCAAGTCAAAGGGAATGGTTACCCCTTACCTGTTCCTCAATACAGCCTCTACTGAAAGCCAAGTGTTCTTGTAGAATACGTCTTATTGTGTGTTCCACCCTTTGAGCCGTGCTTTTTATTGAACGATGATAATGACCATGGGTTCACTATTATTAGAGGAAGAAAATAAAACCGTGAGCCAGAAAGCTCACGACACCCATACAAATGAAGACAAGAATGTCTCTTCTTCATTCCTGTCATTTTGCTAATGAGCTTTTGAGCATCAGTGATAAAGGATATAATTTCTAGATATGTGCCACAAGATTCCATTCTCTGCATTGCAGTGAGCTTTCACACTTTGTGTCAGTTGCTTCCGGATAGCCTGATATTCTGCTTGGCTGCACTGTCTCTGGTGGCAAAGACTGGTTTCATGCTTTCCTCCTTATGCTAATTAGAAGCATACATGCTCTGCTGGCTGGACTGTGACTGAATACCAATGTGGGTTACATCCAGTCTATCACTTTCAGCTCTCTCTGTATTTTTTCCTTTCTCTTCTAGTCTTGCGATGCTGTAGGCAAAAGCCTATAGAATTCCAATAAAATAGTATCTCCGCACACAGAGAGCATTTTTTTTTTCTGCATATGCCCCTGGGTATCACTACTTCATTATAGCTCACTATAGGGGGCATCATTCCTGAGATGTAACATCTGGCCCGTGAGACCTTCCAATCTGAAACAACAAATCTATTATTGTCATTTTACTTGTTCTTTTCTTTGAAGACAAAACATTATTACACATAAATACAGTGTAATCCACCCTTTTGAAGCTGGAGATTGAGAAAATGTTTAAAGGTATTATCAAGTCATTTAAGCATCTACTTCTGAAACATTAGAGAGAAAAGTGTTGAAAATATAAATTGTTGCTTATTATTTATTACCCTAATATCAGGGGTTGAAAACAAATAGTATAATTAGAAATATATCTTGAGATTGCAGAGCAGTTTAGAAACTGAAACTGAATTATTTTGAGTATTTTTTTTTCTAATTTTGCACCTGTAGCGGAGAGGCAGTATAATCCACAATATCTCCGCTGGTAGACAGGAGCAGCATATAATCCAGGTAAAACAGGTACAGCATACAGTAATCCTGGTAGCGTTATACAGATCCTTCCTTCCCAAGAACTAGACGACACATAGTCTGGGAGTCAACTGAGGTTTTAATCACAGGTCACAGTATTTATGTGGTTCCCCATGCAAGGGGCTTCCTTACTGACTTTACAGGGGTTGTACAGTAGGGGACTACATGGGGAACGTAACAACCAGAACATTTCTCCCACCATGCACTGCTGTACGAGAGGGATACTCCCACTAGAATATCTAGTTAAGTGGATTATCCCTCTGTGCAGCAGAACTGGCTTTTTACATAAAAATCTATAACTTTAACATTATTCGTGCTATTATACCGAATGACCGCTCGGCAGATAGCTGGGGTCTGAGCGCATACTTCGTGAAAGTACCGCTCAGATTCCAGCTCAATTAGCTGAACGCCGCACGAAATGCACTTGAACACACATTCTTCACAAAGACACAAATACACATACAGAGATAAAATACCGAAAGACCGGGGCTCCCGAACGGCCTGGAAGTCCAGCAGTACTCGTGCCATCGAGTAGCCGATTTTAGTTCCAGGCACTCGATGACCAAATACCGCTGGGCTAACAAAGGATACAAGATGGGCGCCGCCGCGTGGTCGATATCTGAACTGTGGCCACCCTGAACATCTATTAACTGCTGAAAGATACATTTTTGCGGTCCTTGATGGGAGCCACACGACCACCTGTGTGTGGTCTCCCATTCGGTAGTTTGTTCGTTTCACGAACAGTGTTGAAATTCACTGTTTGTGAAACTACTGCATGAATGCTGGTGGCTTTCATGCCGTCAGCATACGAATGCTCTCATTCACATAAAATATAAACTAGGGAACATGGACAGTTCAGGTAGTCTTAAAGCCACAATATCACACAAACTTAAATACAGTCTTAAGTGGGAAATATAGTCTGAAGTGGCTTGGTTTGCCACAGCAACATTGGCCTTAATTTGAAAATTCACTTTGAATTCCTGTTGATTCTTATTTTAGTAAATAAATCATAAAGACATACAGTGTTATTCACTGAAGTGAGAATCCAAAGCGAATTTCAAATTGAGGCCAAAATTGTCAACCATTCAATAGTCAAATGCTATGAATTTGCTGTTCTTCCAGTTCAGCTACTTCGGACTTAAATTTGAAATTCGATTTTAATTCACTTTAAATTCTCACTTTAGTGATTAACCATGTAAAAAATTATGGATAGAGATGGGTCACGGCTTTCACGAAGGTATACTTGAAGAAAGTGCTATTAGATGGCCAGAAACACACCTCTATTTAAAGCATTTCATGACACCAACTAAACATTCCATCTAATTAATATATATATATATAAAATTCACAAGCACATTTTCTAAGTATATTTTTTTCTCAATGCAAGAACTTGCACTGGTGTGCACCCAGCAATTCAAAATGTGCTTCTGCAAGCTTCTTGCAGTTTTCAAATGTTTCCGAGCAATCTTTAATAAATACAATTATTCTTTTTGTACAGGTGGAAGAGGCTGTGGAGGTTCGATGGCATGAGGCAGAGGACTATTTAGCCAAAGTGAGGACAAGATACCCAATGTAGGTACATTCATAGATCTACTTCTGAATTCACAGAAGTGAGTGGAACAAGCAGTTCCAGAACAAGGACTCTTCCTTTGTGAGTGACAATCACTGCCACAAAGAGTTGACTCCGTAGAAAGCCAGGAAACCGTGTGTTATATTTGAGTGGGTTATATTTGAGTATAATTTCAGTATGCATGAATGCTATGTGTATTTGAGTAGAGTGTAAGTACAGGTGGATGCAGATATTATTTGTGTGGAGTGTCAGAGATGAGGGAAGCACAAGGCCAAAGAGAATGTGATTGGGGTAATATTACAAAGAGAATGTAATTGGAGTAATATTGTAGGGGGACCATGATTGGGACATACACAGCAGGAGAGAGTGTATGACTAGGCTGGACTGGGCAAATGACTTGAAGGCAAGAAGGCAATAGGATGGACAATATGTTTCTACTACCCTTTCATTTATTAGGAATGAGTAGTATAACTATGGAGGATTGAAAATGGAAACTTGGCAAGTAATAGTGGGTATAAATGTAGGGGTATTGGAAAAAAAATGTGAATGTGGCTATGGGGTAGTGTGGTAGTGTGATGATGCAGAGTAAACAATGGACAGATAGATATGGTTAGGAAGGAATTGTAACAAGGATAGGAAATATGGTGATGGTATTTGAGATGGATTCCAAGCACCATACCCACTTTTTACCACTGGAAAAAATTGCAAAGAAAACACTTCATAAATGTTGAAAAAGTCTGCAGCAATTATTAGGGGTAGGGGGAGGGTAAAGAGCAAACCAATGTAACAGAAATATACTTAAATCTACAAAATACAATGTGGGTAATTACAATGGGTTCTGACTAAATTCAGCAATTAATTGATGTATATTGATCTCCTTCCTTAAAGGAAAACCATAGGGTCAGGAACACAAACATGTATTACTGACCTTATAGTGTTAAAGCACTTTTTAGTCACCCTAGTCATCCTTTCCCCTCTTAAATATAGTAAAGTCACCTTATTCCCAGGACCGCGTGAGTCTGCGTGTGTCTGCTTGCACTGACTCCGCCCTCGACCCACCTCTTTGACTGACATTATCAAAATTGATGCTCTCAGCCACATAGGAAAGCATTGGATTGTCTGAGAGTGTCTATTCTGATGATCTCAATCAAGGAGGCAGGATGGGGGGGGGGGAGTTGGAGGCAAACGTCGCTCTGGCCAATCAGTATCTCCTCCTAGAAATGCATTGAATCAATGTTCTTTGTGGGAAAAGTGCTGTGTCTCCAAGCAGAGTGTGAAGGCGCTAAACCCTGGTAGCACCTCTAGTGGCTGTTTGAGGAGTGGCCACTGGAGGTGTTCTAAGGCTGTAATGTTAACACTGCTTTATATACGCTGTAGTTGTTCTGGTGACTATAGTGTCCTTTTAAGTAAACAAATGCTATAAGACAAAGCCAAGAATAATATGTTCTTATCAGTGAAGTATTATGAATTTATGATGTTAACATCATTCTCTCCCCACATTTCACTAACCCCCATTTCTATCCTGCAACTGTCATCTAAAAATTAAGACTTCACTGTAAAGTGTTCTAGCAACCTACTTTTCCATTACATGAAGTACATCTTGCCCTTACTTCTTACCCCACTCCATTAATAATATATGCTTGTTTGAGCAGAGCCCTCAGAGCCTTCTGTTCCAGTGCATCCAACTTGTCTTATTGCTGTTTGTTAGTCCACCCACTGTCCGACTGTTAAATTTGTTGGCAGTTCATAAATATTCATTTTAAAAATAATAATTTGCTCCATAAGACCTTGAGTTTGTGATGTTGGAAGGATCAAACTGTAGAATGTATGCAGCCAACAACAATACATTGTGGATCAAACTCCATTGTCAAAATGTTGTTGTTTATGTTTTTGTGACTGAGCATCAACACAGACTGTTCTCTTGATCACTAAATTGGCCTGGTCACCAAAGAGCCGCAACATTACTGAACAGAACATAAGGGAAACACATCTCCATATGTTGTGTTAACATGTTCTGAAACAGTTTTTAAATATGTTTCAAGCAATAAACAAGGTGATCACTTCAAAGCAGATCAAAGCATAACATATGGCAGTAAGCTGTTAGTGTAACAAAACCTGAAAAGAGTATGGAATGTGTTTGAATTCTCCTGAAGCCACGTGAGGCTTTACTTGAACTTTTTCTTTGCCATCTTATAGTGTAAAGTTGTCTAGTTGCATACCTTCCACCCGCCTGACGTTTGACCAAACACTAGAAATCATAGTCTTGCAGAACATATTAGTTCAACAACATCTGTGAATTGCAGTTTAACACCATTTCCCAACCACAACTACCCAATTTCATCTTCTACTTTTTCAGATTAGAATATCTCAATCTATTGGGTGCAACCAACATATTTGCAAAAGACCAGTTATTGAGTACACATTGACTGAGCAATATTTAATCAGACTAAGCTTGAATCCAAAATTAGCAATTAAATAGTTTATCATTGGTGGGCAACCTTTAGGTTTTCTCGCGGGTGTCTGGTCACCTTGTCCAGTAGAGTTTGTTGCCTAATATTGCCATGCACATTTGGATGGATGGATGTGTACAGCTACTGAAAATTCCATGTTATGTTTGTGGCAGCTGATGGACTGGGCTTTAGGTCCTGGGAGAGCCGAGGAATAGGACTTGGTACCCAAGGATTGTTTGAGTACTATAAATACCATAGTAAATAACATTAGGAGTTATAGTATTTAGTGTCCATGTAATGTGTTTTTTAAAGAGATTAAGGTTTAGTTTGTTGACAATTAGACCTAAAATATTAAGGGTCATTTGTTGCATAAATGCCGACATCAGGGATACCTGGTATAGATACATAAGTAATCCATTAAGAGATATAATGAAGATAGATACAGAGAAAATGTTGAGATATATTGTTTTAGAAATTTTTAAGGAAAACTTTAGTGTTAGGAATACAGAGATGGTGAAAAAAAAACCTTTGAACACTTAGTCTTTCGGTGCTGCGTCAGGCTCCAGTGACATCAGCTGATGGGGTGACCTAATGTGCCTGTACAGCGAGTGCAGTGCGTGCATTAGAACTTGCCCACAGGAAAGGTTTTGGAAGATGCGGGATGCACTCATGCTAAGCCTGAGTACAAGCACCATCATTTTGCAACGTCAAACTCTGTGAAAGGCCAGGAAGTTCGTCTATTGGCTGATTTGGAGACAGCTCTAGAGGCTGTCTTAAGGGGAAAGAACAGTGCACCCACACCACTTCAATGAGGTAAGTGGTCTGGGTGTCAATAATGTCCTTTTAAGGTATGAATCAGACAATCAAAACAATAACGTAAGGTGGTTGAAATATTGTTTTGGCATAGTCATATAAATATTATCATACATATGTTAAAACGTATATGAGTTTAAATAATTTCAATTAAGTAGATCTGTTCATTTATATTTTATTCAGTAGTTTTAGACATGTTGAGTAGAGTTGATCGAACCCGAACTGAAAAGTTCGGGTTCGTACCGAATATTAGGTTTTTTGGACCCCGGACCCGAACATGGACATATCACTGTACATATCATTGTATGTTCGGGTTGGAGTTCGGTGTTCGGCAAATTAATGGCGCGTTTTCAAAGGCTAGAGGGCAGCCAATCAACAAGCGTTTGGCTCGTGTGCCCTTAGAAGCCATCACCGCCATGCCTATTAATGGCATGGCTGTGATTGGCCAGTGCAGCATGCGACCCAGCCTCTATATATAAGCTGGAGTTGCGTAGCGCCGCACGCACATGTGGTCTTATTAGTGTAGGGAGAGGATGCTGCCACTGATAGGGACAGCTTAGGTAAGAATTCTGCAAACTAGTACATTAGTGGGGTGGGGTGCACTTCATATCTGAGAGTCAAATAGAAGCTTCAAATACCGCGGTTACATCGGAGTTTTAAAAAGTAAATTTTTTTGGTTGCGAAATAGTACATTAGTGGGGTGCACTTCATATCTGAGAGTCAAATTGAATCGACAAATACTGCTGTCACATTGCAGTTTTAAAACTTACATTTTTTTGGGTGCTAAAAAGTACATTAGTGGGGTGCACTTCATATCTGAGAGTCAAATAGAAGCGTCAAATACTGCTGTCACATTGCAGTTTTAAAACTTAAAAAATGTTTGGGTCCTAAACTGCTAAATAGTATTTTAGTGGGGTGCACTTCATATCTGAGAGTCAAATAGAAGCGTCTAATACTGCGGTTACAGCGCAGTTGTAAACATTTTAATTGTTTTGCTGCTAATATGCGGTGCACTTCATATCTGAGAGTCAAATAGAAGCGTCAAATAGTGCGCTTACTGCGCAGTGGTAAACATTTTTATTTTCTGGGTGTTAATCTGCTAAATAGTACCTTTTGTGGCCTGCTCTGCATATCTTAGAGTCAAATAGAAGTGTCTAATACTGCGGTTACAGCGCAATTGTAAACATTCTAATAGTTTTGCTGCTAATCTGCTAAATAGTACATTTTGGGGCCTGTTCGTCATATCTGAGAGTCAAATAGAAGCATCTAATAGTGTGCTCACTGTGCACTTGTAAACATTCAATTTTTTTTTGCTGCTAATCTGCTAAATAGTATATTTTGGGGCCTGCGGTGCACTTCATATCTGAGAGTCAAATAGAAGCATCAAATAGTGCACTTACTGCGCAGTGGTAAACATTCTTATTTTTTGGGTGTTAATCTGCTCAATAGTACATTTTGTGGCCTGCTCTTCATATCTTAGAGTCAAATATAGGCGTCTAATACTGTGGTTACAGCGCAATTGTAAACATTCTAATTGTTTTGGGGCTAAACTGCTAAATAGTACATTTTGGGGCCTGTTCGTCATATCTAGAGTCAAATAGAAGTGTCTAATAGTGTGCTTACTGCGCACTTGTAAACATTCTATTTTTTTTGCTGCTAATCTGATAAATAGTACATTTTGGGGCCTGGTCTTCATATCTGAGAGTCAAATAGAAGCGTCAAATAGTGCGCTTACTGCGCAGTGGTAAACATTCTTAATTTCTGGGTGCTAATCTGCTAAATAGTAAATTTTGGGGCCTGTTCTTCATATCTGAGAGTCAAATAAAAGCGTCTAATAGTGTGCTTACTGTGCACTTGTAAACATTCTAATTTTTTTTGCTGCTAATCTGCTAAATACATTTTGGGGCCTGCAGTGCTCTTCATATCTGAGAGTCAAATAGAAGCGTTAAATAGTGCGCTTACTGTGCAGTGGTAAACATTCTAATAGTTTTGCTGCTAATCTGCTGCTTACATTGGAGTTTTAAAAAGTCTTTTTTGGGGGGGGGCGCTAAATAGTATATTTGGGGTGTTCACTTCATATCTGAGAGTCAAATCGAAGCGTAACTTTGATTCGAATTTACTACATCGGTCACTTGTAATATTGTTTCACACCTACAACACTTGTTACACAGATCTAAGTGATAGAAAACAGATTGATATTTTCTACACTAGAAACTACCAGATAACAAGCTGCTATATTCAAACCAGTGATCAATAAGAGGTACTTCAACAATATTGTAATTCTGGGGCAATACCCTCACAAGTCAAACTGAGAGGTCAGTTTATAGGGAAAACTGTTGCCTGGAGGAAATTCTAAAACAATTTCCATATGTCCTTTGCAGACTTTACATGCTGAAAAAACACAGGTGCCAACTGCTGTGGCTTTCTGCAGTGTGCATACCGACAAGGAGGGCAGGGTTGAGGAATGGGTGAAGGATGATGAGGTCCTAGACCCCACATGGAATCAAGGTCATGCGAGTGATGTGTGCAGTTTGGAGGAAGAGGCGCTGGTCGCACAGAGGCACCAGCACGGCATAAGAGGGAGCAGGGTGCAAAAGCGGAGCAGCCGTCGGCATGTATTAGCTTGAGAATTACCAATTATCCAAGTAATACATGTAGCGATCAAAAGATCCATAATAGAGTTGAGTGAACCTGAACTGCAAAGTTCAGGTTCGTAACAGATATAACGATCCATTCGTAGTTTCACAGTCAGGTATGCAGTCCGATGACCAGGACCCAGACACTGTCTGGTCAGCGGTCGGATGACCGGGACCCAGTATGCCTGATGTTGAAGTTAGGAGTCACAGTGTGGAATGAATTAGCAGGGTCTGGTGCAGGGTAAGCGCATGCCCCCTGGTGTTGAGCACCAGTGTTTGTGTGGCCACATACCAGGACCCTGATGCAGCTTCAGTAAAAAGAGTACTGGATACCAGAAGCCATCACCATACTGAACCACAACTTGGAACAGGATGTGACATTCACTGTAGCGGCTGTGCGCGCTTTTGTCGTTGTCATCCTGCTGCTGCTCGCCTGTCTGCGCTGCAGCGTAACTTCGGCCTTCCCGCTCACTGCCTCATGAGACTGTGCGAGCAGCAGCAGGCGATAGTGGAGTTTCAGCTGCAGCACGAACGAGTCAGTGGCTCTGCACCAGACTTCCCTCCAATTGATCAGAGTTAAAGGATTTCAAGTGGACTCATTACAATTACAGGGCCTCTAAAGAGTCCTGTATTGTTATTTATTGTCACTGCCTTCCCGCGTCGGGAGTGGGTCATTTGCGCGCCTGCTGCCTTCCTTGCATGTGGTAGCCGTTTCTCAGTGTCCCTGTACGGAATGGAACCCTGATTCCCCGTTACCTGTGGTCATCATGGTAGGCTCAGAAATTGGCATCAAAAGTTGATATGGATGACATCCGCATGCAAAGTCGCGTCACGGGGATGTGCGATTTGCCCGAGGTTCTCTAGAGTCAACAAAGCTCCAATGCAACTATAATGTCAACAGCTACTCTGCGGAACAGAGTTGTGTTTTTTTTATATGTCCCAATATTTTGGGGGCTACCCCAATTAAAATATATATATATATATATATATATATATATATATATATATATGTATATATACAAAAATAGATAGAGTCCGTGCACTCACGCTGAATAAAACTTGTGTGTACAAAAATACCCACAGTGTTTGATAAAGTAGCCTGGTGCTAGTCCATAGGAGGAAATAGCTATATTACAAAAAATGAAAATAAATTCAAGGCCTGCACTCACGGTCTGAATGATGAAGATATAGTTTTATTCCATAAAAACGAACAGGATCGATCCTGTTTGTTTTTATGGAATAAAACTATATCTTCATCATTAAGACCGTGAGTGCAGCCCTTGAATTTATTTTCATTTTTTGGTATATGTATATATATATATATATATATATATATATATATATATATAAACAGTGTTGGCTACCTCATCCTCCTCCTCCACCGCCACGGTCACCACCTCCTCAACCTATGGGTCACTTAGTATAAACTATGTACACAATAGCATCAGGACTGCAAGAAATGCACCGCAGGCCACAAATGTTTATTTTGTTGTATGTCTCAATATTTTGTGGGCTACCACAATTACAAAAAAACCCCCATAAAAAACAGTGTTGGCTACCTCCTCCTCCACCGCTGCTTCCACCTACACCGACACGGTCACCGCCTCCAAAACCTATCGGTCACTTAGTATAAACTAGGTACACATTAGCAGAGGCTTGTGAAGGCCTTTTCTCCATGCATCAGGAGTTGAGTATTTCTCCATGCATCAGGACTGCAAGAAATGCACCGCAGGCCGCAAATGTTTATTTTGTTATATGTCCCAATATTTTGTGGGCTACCACAATTACAAAAACCCCCCATAAAAAAAACAGTATTGGCTACCTCATCCTCTTCCTCCACCGCAGCTTCCTCCTCCACCACCACGGTCACCGCCTCCTCAACCTATGGGTCACTTAGTATAAACAAGGTACACATTAGCAGAGGCTTGTGAAGGGCTTTTCTCCATGCATCAGGAGTTGAGTATTTCTCCATGCATCAGGACTGCAAGAAATGCACCGCAGGCCGCAAATGTTTATTTGTATGTCCCAATATTTTGTGGGCTACCACAATAAAAAAAAAAAAATACAGTGTTGGCTACCTCATCCTCCCTTCTCCACCGCCACGGTCACCGCCTCCTCAACCTATGGGTCACTTAGTATAAACTATGTACACAATAGCAGAGGCTTGTGAAGGCCTTTTCTCTATGCATCAGGAGTTGAGCTCAGTTTGACCAATGAAAGAGAATACCCGGCACTCCAACCGTCTCTCAAATGGATAATTCTGGTGATCCTCCTGACAGCCATGCTTCAGATTTTGATTTATGTTCTTCCAAAGCTAAAATCAAAGATTCCATCTAGTGCTATTTTATGGCTCAGCTGTATTTTTAATTTTTATGTTATTTTAAGTGATTTTCCTATCCACGTTTGTTTGCAGGGCACTTGTCCTACTCTTACCTCCATTTACTTGCTTTTGCAGATCTCTAGGCCATTCCATGAATTTTTTAGAGGCATTTTTGTGGCCAAAAGTTCGGGTCCCCTTTGACTTCAATGGGGTTCGGGTTCGGAGTCAAGTTCAGGGTCAAGTTTGAGCCCGAACCCGGACTTTTTTTCAAAGTTCGACCGAACCCGCCGGACCCAAACATCCAGGTATCCGCTCAATTCTAATGTTGAGGTAACACAGACATGTTGATTTGCTACAATAACAGCATTCAGCCTATCACTGCCTTCTCCTTTCCCTTTCTCATATGGCTATAGCCTAGAATTAATATGACGCAGAAATATGGAGCAAAATTTCACTTGCTTAAAGAATTATTTCATCGTCAGGTTTGCACACATACATTCTAACACTATATTTATTTTCCGGAGTGTTATGTTTAGCAAAGGCCTTGAAGAATTGATAATTGCATATACAGGGAGTGCAGAATTATTAGGCAAATGAGTATTTTGACCACATCATCCTCTTTATGCATGTTGTCTTACTCCAAGCTGTATAGGCTCAAAGCCTACTACCAATTAAGCATATTAGGTGATGTGCATCTCTGTAATGAGAAGGGGTGTGGTCTAATGACATCAACACCCTATATCAGGTGTGCATAATTATTAGGCAACTTCCTTTCCTTTGGCAAAATGGGTCAAAGAAGGACTTGACAGGCTCAGAAAAGTCAAAAATAGTGAGATATCTTGCAGAGGGATGCAGCACTCTTAAAATTGCAAAGCTTCTGAAGCGTGATCATCGAACAATCAAGCGTTTCATTCAAAATAGTCAACAAGGTCGCAAGAAGCATGTGGAAAAACCAAGGCGCAAAATAACTGCCCATGAACTGAGAAAAGTCAAGCGTGCAGCTGCCACGATGCCACTTGCCACCAGTTTGGCCATATTTCAGAGCTGCAACATCACTGGAGTGCCCAAAAGCACAAGGTGTGCAATACTCAGAGACATGGCCAAGGTAAGAAAGGCTGAAAGACGACCACCACTGAACAAGACACACAAGCTGAAACGTCAAGACTGGGCCAAGAAATATCTCAACACTGATTTTTCTAAGGTTTTATGGACTGATGAAATGAGAGTGAGTCTTGATGGGCCAGATGGATGGGCCCGTGGCTGGATTGGTAAAGGGCAGAGAGCTCCAGTCCGACTCAGACGCCAGCAAGGTGGAGGTGGAGTACTGGTTTGGGCTGGTATCATCAAAGATGAGCTTGTGGGGCCTTTTCGGGTTGAGGATGGAGTCAAGCTCAACTCCCAGTCCTACTGCCAGTTCCTGGAAGACACCTTCTTCAAGCAGTGGTACAGGAAGAAGTCTGCATCCTTCAAGAAAAACATGATTTTCATGCAGGACAATGCTCCATCACACGCGTCCAAGTACTCCACAGCGTGGCTGGCAAGAAAGGGTATAAAGAAGAAAATCTAATGACATGGCCTCCTTGTTCACCTGATCTGAACCCCATTGAGAACCTGTGGTCCATCATCAAATGTGAGATTTACAAGGAGGGAAAACAGTACACCTCTCTGAACAGTGTCTGGGAGGCTGTGGTTGCTGCTGCACGCAATGTTGATGGTGAACAGATCAAAACACTGACAGAATCCATGGATGGCAGGCTTTTGAGTGTCCTTGCAAAGAAAGGTGGCTATATTGGTCACTGATTTGTTTTTGTTTTGTTTTTGAATGTCAGAAATGTATATTTGTGAATGTTGAGATGTTATATTGGTTTCACTGGTAATAATAAATAATTGAAATGGGTATATATTTGTTTTTTGTTAAGTTGCCTAATAATTATGCACAGTAATAGTCACCTGCACACACAGATATCCCCCTAACATAGCTATAACTAAAAACAAACTAAAAACTACTTCCAAAAATATTCAGCTTTGATATTAATGAGTTTTTTGGGTTCATTGAGAACATGGTTGTTGTTCAATAATAAAATTAATCCTCAAAAATACAACTTGCCTAATAATTCTGCACTCCCTGTATAATTCTGCCCTTTTCCACAAAGCAGCAATATTCACAGACAGCTGGGAAATTCTGCGTTAAAAGTCACTCACGTGGCAGATACCAATAGACACTTTTTTCTCTGATAGCTGTTTACAGAAAAAAAATTGTGGAATTTGTGCTTAACTCAGTTGTTTACCTTCTGAGAAACTGACACCTCAATGTATGTTCTGCTATTATAATATAACAAATGATGGGCAATTAAAACCATGTTTATGCAGCTCACTGACCCGTAAAATTACATTGTATCAAACTAGCCCCCAGAGTCACCAGTCCCTAATCAGCCTTCCTGATTCTCACTATTTTGATTAAGTGTATTAACCTTTTGTTTATCTAGCTGCCAGTCAATAAATGGTAATTTTCCTGGGCATTCTTTGTAAATGCTTCTCAGTAGAGTACAGTATTACTTAACTGAGCATATTTAGAAAGGAACTGTCATCTTTTAATTGGTTGATAAAACCAGAGCATATGTGAACTCTGAGATTGGACAAAAGCTTGAAGAAAGTCAATAGCTTGCCCTTTCGGTAAATCCCAGCAGAGGTCTCAAAATATTTTTTGCCCACTTGTGCCATTGCATAGAGAGCATGTTCTAAAGCATATCAGACTAATCCCACCTGTAAGTCCAAAACCGAAACTCCAGCAAGTTCTCTCTGCACGAGAGACAAAGCAGCCCCAGACATATACATGTGTGCTAGGTTTTGCTCAGTTGTGATTTTAGTGAGTGAACCTATACCATTCCACATCAGACTGATTCCACCCATAAGGGCAGTCCAGAACCACAATGACGTCAAAAATGGATGATTGTTTTTGGCCTTCTTTAGAACTCATTAGCCAGGTGTAGCTGATACCTCTCAAGGCACAGTGAACATGGGGTCCACGTCTGGATTACCCTTTTAACTTAGGGAGAGCCAAGTTAATGCATTGCAACAAATACAGAGAATATGAGAACTCTGAGAACAGACTAAAGCTTAGAGGAACTCTATAGCTTGACCTTTGGTTAGTCTCAGCTCAGGTCTCAAACAGTTTTTGCTCGCTTGTGTCATTACAGGGTGAACCTATACCATTTGCATATCAGACTGATCCCACCCATAAGTAATGTCCAGAACAAAGTGCAGTCAGGTTCTCTCTGCACAAGAGATACAGCTTAACGATCATTTCGGCCTTGTACTATTAGAATCCATCTATATACGTATAAAAAAATAAATAAAATTAGAGATTAAAAATAAATAAAATTAGAGATTAAAACAAATAAACAAAAGTAATACAAAGCACAACACACTTGTAGCTAGCTGTTAAACTATATTTTTTCCTTAGAAGGGATTGTTTTATTTTAAGAATATTGTTTTTATGGAATAAAATAAAGAACAGTTTTTTGGAAGTTTTTCTTATAGCAAGTATGTAATAATCATCATAATAGTCCTCATAAACCCATAGTGAAAAAGTCTAGCTTGATCCTTACTAAATATATGACGATAACATGCCCACTTTTTCACATGAGTACAAATTACCCTATAAGGATTCAAAGAGAATTTTACAATCCATTTCTCAGAGAGTGACTT